TTGGCTTGGAGAATTTTACACATTACTTTGCTAGTGTGTGAGATGAGTGCAATTGTGCAGTAGTCTGAACACTCTTTGGCTTTGCCTTTCTTTGGGATTCAAATGAAAACTGACCTTTTCCAGTCCTGTGGCCACTGCTGAGTTTTCCAAATTTTCTGGCATAGTGAATGCAGCACTTTCACAGCATCATCTTTTAGGATTTGAAAAAGCTCAGCTGGAATTCTATCACCTCTTGTGTAGTGATGTAGCTTGTTTGTAGTGATGCTTCCTCAGGCTGACTTGACTTCACAATTCAGGATATCTGGCTCTAAATGAGTGATCACACCATCATCGTTATCTGGGTCATTAAGATCTTTTTTATACAGTTCTTCTGTGTATTCTTGCCACTTCGTCTTAGTATCTTCTGCTTCTGTTAGGTCCATACAGTGCCTGTCCTTTATTGTGTCCACCTTTGCATGAAATGTTCCCTTGGTGAATCTAATTTTCTTGAAGAAATTAGAATTTGTCATATATGGCCTTTATTATATTATTTTCCATCAATGCCCATTTTAAAATCATAAATGGCTGCTGAATTTTGTCAACAGCTTTTTCTGCATCTATTGAGATGATCATATGGTTTTATTCTTCAGTCTCTTAATGTGGTGTATCACACTGATTGATTTGGAGATATTGAAGAATTCTTGCATCCTTGGAATAAATCCCACTTGATCATGGTGTATGATCCTTTTAATGTATGGTTGGATTTGGTTTGCTAGTATTCTGTTGAATATTTTTGCATCTATGTTCATTAGTGATACTGGCCTGTAATTTTCTTTTGATTGTGGCATGTTTGGTTTTGGTATCAGAGTGATGGCCTCAGAGAATGGACTTGGAGTGTTCCTTCTGCAGTTTTCTGGAAGAGTTTTAGAAAGATAGGTGCTTACTCTTCTCTAAATGTATGTGAAGCTATTTGGCTCTGGATTTTAGTTTGTTGGAAGTTTAAAAATCTGTTTCACAGATCACCAGCCCAGGTTGGATGCATGAGACAAGTGCTCAGGGCTGGTGCACTGGGAAGACCCAGAGGGATGGGATGGAGAGGGAGGTGGGAGGGGGGGGGATCGGGATGGGGAACACATGTAAATCCATGGCTGATTCATGTCATTGTATGGCAAAAACCACTATAGTATTGTAAAGTAATTAGCCTCCAACTAATAAAAATAAATGGAAAAAAAATTTTTTTAAAAACCAAAAAAATAAATAAAAATGTTTCAATTTCTGTACTTGTGACTGGTCTGCTCATATTTTCTATTTCTTCCTGGTTCAGTCTTGAAAGGTTGTACCTTTCTAAGAATTTGTCCATTTCCTTTAGGCTGTCCATTTTATTGGCATATAAGTTGTCTATGATTCTTTGTATTTCTTATGATTCTTTGTATTTCTGTGGTATCAGTTGTAACTTCTCCTTTTTCAGTTTTAGTTTTATTGATTTGAGCCCTTTCCCTTTCTCTTCTTAAAGTTTATTAATTTTGTTTATCTTTTCAAAGAACCAGCTTTCAGTTTCACTGATCTTTTCTATTGTTTTTATTTCTGCTCTGATCTTTATGAGTTTTCTTCTTCTTCTAACTTTGGGTTTTATTTGTTCCTCTTTCTCATTGTTTTAGGTAAGAGGTTAGGTTGTTTGAGATTTCTCTTGTTTCCTGAGGCAAGATTGAATTACTATAAACTTACGTTAGAACTGCTTCCATGAATTACTATAAACTTACGTTAGAACTGCTTCCACTGCATCCTGTAGGTTTTGGATTGTGGTGTTTTTGTTGTCATTTATCTAGAGGTATTTTTTTTATTTCCTCTTTGATTTCTTCAGTGATCCATTGGTTGCTTAGTAATATATCATTTAGCTTCCATGTGTTCATATTTTTTTTTTAGCAGTTATTTGCCTGTGTTTGATTTTTAATCTCATAACATTGCGATCAGAGAAAATACCTGATTTCAATTTTTTTTTAGCTTTACCAAGGCTTGACTTGTGGCCCAAGATGTGATCTACCCTGGAGAATATGCCACATGCACTTGAAAAGAAAGTGCCTTCTGCTGCTTTCAGATGGCATGTACTATAAATACCAATTAAGTCTACTGTGTCATTTAAGGCCTGTGTTTCCTGACTGATTTTCTGTCTGGATGACCTGTCTATTGATGAGAATAGGGTGTTAAAGTCCTCTGGTATTACTGTGTTATTGTCAGTTTCCCCTTATATGGCTATTATGTATATTGAGGTACTCTTATGTTGGGTATACATGTATTTACAATTGTTGTATCTTCTTCTTGGATTGATCCCTTGATCATTATGTAGTGTCTTTCCTTGTCTCTTGTGATGATAGTCTTTATTTTAAAGTCTATTTTATGTGATATAAGTATGACTATCTTAGCTTTCTTTTTGATTTCCATTTGCATGAAATACCTTTGTCCATTCTCACTTCCAGTCTCTGTGTTCCTAGATCTGAAGTGCATCTCTTACAGACAGCATATGTATGGATATTGTTTTTATATCCATTCAGCTAGTCTATGTCTTTTGGTGGAAGCATTTAATCCATTTACATTTAAGGTAACTATTACTATTTTTAATTTTTGGCTGCACCCTGAAGCATGTGGACCTTAGTTCCCCAACTGGGGATCAAACCTATGTCCCCTGCACTGGAAGGTGGAGCCTTAACCGCTGGACTGCTGGGGAAGTCCCTAAGGTAATATGTATGTTTTTATTTTCAATTTGTTAATAGTTTTGGATTTGTTTTTGTAGGTCTTTTTCTCCCTTCCCCTTTTGTTCACTTCTCTTATGATTTGCTGACTATCTTTAGTGTTGTGTTTGGATTGCTTTTTCTTTTTTTGTGTATCTATTGTAGAGTTTTGGTTTGCAGTCTCCATGAAGTTTTGATATAGCAGTCTACATATAAATACAAGATTGTTTTAACTTGCTTGTCCCTTAATTTCTAGTGTGTGTCCAATATCCTGCATTGTAGCCCTCTCTTCTATAGTTGCTGGTTTTGATATATGTGTGTGTGGATGATTTCCTACCTTTACCATATGTTTGCCTTTACTAGTGAGGTTTCCCATTCATAATTTTCTTTTCTAGTTGCCTTTTCTCTTCTGCCTAGAGATTCCTTTAAGATTTGCTGTAAAGCTCATTTGATGGTGCCAAATTCTCTTAGTTTTTGCTTGTCTGTGAAGTTTTTGATTTCTCTATCAAATCTGAGTGAGAACATTGCTGGATCCCTTCTGGTGTGCAGTTTCTGCTGAAAAATCAGCTGATACCTTACGGGGGTTTCCTTAAGTGTTAATTGTTGCTTTTCCCTTGATGCTTTTAATATTTTCTCTGTTTGTAATTTCTGTTGGTTTGGTTACCATGTGTCTCGGCATGTTTCTCCTTGGGTTTATCTTGTACAGGACTCCCTGTACTTCCTGGGCTTGAGCGAATGTCTCCTGTCTCATGTTAGGCTAGTCCTGCATGCTCTTATCAATGCTGCCCTGTCTTTGGTCATCCTTCCCAGGAGGCTCCCAAGCCCCCTTTCCCAGCTGAAGCCCTCTCTGCAGCCTCTCATGCCGACTGGGCGTCTGTTCTGGTGCTGAGATGACAATTCCAACTACTCCATCTGCTCCCTTTTCCCGCCCGCCCCACTGTCCAAACCAGGAACCCAGGAGTCGCCTTAACCCTGCCCTCCCTCCACATACACTCTCTGGTACCATTCACCTGCCTTGTCCAATCTCTTGAGGCCTGTGGATTCTTCTTCTTAATTATCTCTCTATCGTCTCTATCTTCTACCACCCCAGGTCAGGCCACCGTCTATTCTGGGTTATTTCAGCAGCCTCTCCAGATGGTCCTGCAAGGTGGCCTCACCTCATCCTCCAGGGAGAGCACCAAGCGCTGCCCGTCTGTGTGCCCTTGCTCACACTGCTCTTTCTTGCCTCTTCCTCTAGCTAACTCCTACCCATCCTTCAGGTTTCCAATCAGCTCTTCCCAGACCACCAAGCCAGATTTAGGTCCCCTTGCTACGTGTTTCCTATCAAAGCACTTATCACTTGATATGGTCAGTTCCTATTTAATGTGTGTGTCGCTTTGTTGGGCATGTCTGTGTGCTTCATTATTTTAGCCCCTGAAGCTAGGACAGTAACCACAGATGTTTGCAAACTTCTGGATGAATAAGTGAAAGATTTTCAAATCTGTAAAATTCAAACCCAAACTGAATGATACCAGCCTGAAATAATTTAATTTAGAAACAAAAGCCTTGAGCCCAGCTTCCAAAAGGTTTGGTCAAGAAAAGGCACTTCAGCATGATGAGGAATAGCTGAGATTAGAGGCACCGTTCATGTAAACACGTCCTGATTTCACGCTGCTTAGGTTTATGCACAGAAAGCCACTTCCCAAATTCTTAAGCTGATTCCCGTTGAATCTGTCTAGAGTCCTGCATAATCAACAAAATGTGGTTCAAGTATTAACTAAAGTCCAGTGTCTCAAAGAAAGGTAAGGAGTCTCCTCGTCTGTCCGTAAGTCCTTATACACAAAAAATATTCTAATGGGTCTTAACATTTTATAGTTGGAAAGGAGTTTGAAGCTCATTAAGCCAACATGTTACAGGTGAATATGAAGCTCAACACCGTCATTTTACAGGTGAGAAAACTGGGGCTCAGGGAGGCAAGGAAGCTGACTCAGGGTCACACCTGGCCTGTCAGCCATAAAGTGGGGTTAGGACCCAGGTGCTGAGCTGTACCTGTTAGTTTGGATCACGATGATGGCTGTGTTTTCAAGATCATGCTGATGGAAAATGTTTCACCCACACTTCAAACTAATAACCACCTCATTGTTCAACAGGGCAGCTAACCTGAGGGAGAGAACTGGAGGAGAGTGTTCCTCAGGTCAACGACGCGCTTCCTACCATAGCTGAGGGGAAACAGGAATCACAGGGGAGGAGGAGAAGACAGAACTAAGAGGTGCTGGGCCCATGCCGAGGACCACGGTGGAAACGCCAGGCACTTACCTTTTCTTTGTCACTTGCTTCCCTGGCCACTGTAGAGCCCTGAAACAGAGATGATGAAAATAAGCACGTGTGAGGCACCGGCTTCACGTGAAACGTGCAAACGTCCCAGGGCAGAGCTCCGAGACAGCCGAGCACCGACTGTGCCCTGTGCCCTCCCCGAGTGAGTGTGTGCAGCGCCTCTGTAGGGGTCTCTGTCTCCAACCCTTTGTCACCTGTGCCCGTCTTTTCCCTGGTTCCTGTCCTCCTGGTGGGAATCAGAAAACCCACCAGTCACGTGAACAATGCCTTTCTAAACGCAGGGTCGGACCACACTCTCCTCCTCACGTCACTGGAGATGGTTGGTTTGAGGGCCTTCAAAGTACAGTGGGCCATCACTTGGCTGCAGTGACCACTGGGCACCGAGGGCCTATCTCCCACACTGCGTCCTGCAGGTGGGGCACCCTGACCCCTGACAGCCCGTCTCCCTGGCTCAGGGTTCCTGACGAACTGACCTCCTCACTCACCCTAAGACCCAGGGGGGACTTTCTGGCCACTTTCACGTTGGAGGCCCCTTCAAACACACATCTACTCGCACCCCTTTTGTGCCTCTAGGGTGAGCACAAAAGGTATAAGGAGAGGAAAATGCAGCTTTGGTTGCAGCGGTTCTACTCTGCTGCACCGGTTTTCAAATAATGCCCCTGGTTGTGTGTTGTGACAGACGACCAAGTCTGTCTGAGATGCTCATGGAGCGGCAGGGCTTTAGGGTAGAATTCACAGAGACTGTCCTCTGTGAAAGATCTTAATGCAAAAGAAAGATTAGGAAACGCATGGCCAGTAAGTTCCTAACTTTGATAATAACAAACAACAGTGAGCACCCCTTCCGCGTGCTCCTTGGCGGCCGTCGCAGTGTCACACAGCAGTGCCCGCATTTGCTGAGTAAACGGCTGGGGAAGGGTCACGGCCCAGCAGTGGACACCCAAACTATGACAGAGGTCAGTGGCGCGAGCTGCTTGTCTGTTAAATACACATTTATTGGCCTGGAATACTTGCATTAGCCAGTCATTCAGAGAATGTGTATGTGACTTGGGAAATGTTAAAGTAGCTTCTAGACTGGCCACTCTTAACGTTTTTACTCTATGACCATCTTGCCTTCAGGCAGCTCAGGCACTAGTTAGGATGTGCGTCACCTGTCGTTCACAGATGGAGAGACTCCTCATACGGGGGAAAGGGGCCAGGCCTGAGCCCGGGGCTCCCCGGTGCCAGTTCATCATCATCCCCACGCTCAGTGTTCCCAGGTCTGGTGAATCTAAAAGACCCTGCTGGGCCAGCCCAGGACGATGCTCGAAGCATCTTGGGGACATGTTGGAGAAGCACAAAGCTGACCCAGCAAGTGAGGATGAACCCTGTGAGGTGTCCCTGAAGGCGAGCCCTCTGCCCAGCCCAGCCCAGCAGCTGTCGCTGCAAGGGTTTGTTGTCCTTCCTTTCTGGGGTCTTGATTTCCGGCCACAATATCTTCCTTTACATACTGACTGCTAATAAAGAATGTTCCCTTATTTTAAAAGAAGGGAGGGGTGAATACGCGAGTATTAAATACTTAAAATACCTGGCTACTGCGTTTGTAATACCTGAGCAGTTCCTATGCTAATGGGCAAAGGGAGGGAATTATTTTTGTATCTTTAACCAAGTTTTTAGTCTCTGTGTATTTTTTCCCTCCTTACAATATAATTTACTCTGCTTCTGATTCTCAGTGCTGCCTCATCTCTATGTAAATGCAGATCATTAGCCTGGAAAAACTCATCCAGATTTAAATTCATTCAGGATTAAAAAAACAAAATTACAGAAGTCAGTCAAAGTCACGAGTTTGAGCCATGAAATGATGCCAGGTGCCCAGGTTCCCTTACTATTCTATAAGCTAAAGAGGGAGATGAAATCAGGACATCCAAGGTTAAATTAAAACCATAATATCCAGTCTGTAATTTATATCAAGGTATGCTTCCTATATGTCTGCTTGAATGAGGCACTATTTGAAGCGCTTCAGGGGATAAAGTGGGACCAGAAACAATCGTCTTTAAGAAACTTACTAATAGAATGGATGGGAATGAAAATTCATCCACCTCTTCTTGTATGCATTATGCTGGACGTGACACAAACATATCATATTAATCCTCTCAACAACCCAGCAAGGGAGGTAAAACCATCTCTGTTCTACAGATGAAGGAACTGTGGCCCCTACAGGTTCAGCATCTCGCACACAGCTAACACATAGTAAGACTGGGACATGGGGCTCCTGACATGGGAGAGTCAACAGACAGACCTCTAATATACTCAACAGGACGAGCTAGTAACACTTTAGAGGGCCTTGTGAGAGAGATGGCTCCAAAGAGACCTCCAGGGTTGCTGGGATTTCCAGGGAACAAAACAGCTACGACTTGGAGGTAAGAGCAGACTCGAGGTAAGAGATGAGCCTGGAACATCTCCCCTCCCTTAGAGCAACATTTCGCAAAGCATAGTTCAGCACCCAGGGGTGCTGCAAAGTCAAGAGTATCTTTATAATAATGCGGAGACAGTCTCTGCCTTGACATTTACACGGATACTGCAAAAACAACCATGGGGAAAACTGTTGGCAGCTTACACAGATCCAGCAGTGGCACCAAATGGTATTAGTAGAGATATCATACGATATACGAACATCCTTGAGGAAGCAATGGCATCTGTTTTGTTAAATCCTGACCCTGGATGACGTACCTTCTCAATATTCTGTGTAGGAAGTATGCCCAAAGCTCTTTTGTTTATAAAGCAGGTATGTTTAAGGACAGTTATCTTGGTGATGGTTTTGAGTTATGAGCTGAACTAGCCACTTTTTTCCAGAAATCATTTCTCCATGAAAAGACAACTGGAACCTGTTTATTCCATTCTGGGTATCTGACAGGCACTTGCTCAAAGAGGAACAAAGCTGCTGGCTCAGCTCTGTGCTGTCATTTCACAGGAAACCCACTGATAAAATTTAAGCTTTCAAGTGAAAATGAAAACTTAAAAAACTTGTATCCACCACCCTGAGCTTGACAGCTTCTTAATATAGAAAGGCTTTTCTAATGAGGCAGGTGGCGATATTAATGTGGCTTCCTGATACTGTTTAATGAAATGTATTAGTATTTGGAAGAACTCGTAACTTGGTTAACCCATTGTTCAAAATGACGGAAGCATGATGTATTCAGATCAATGCATGCACACAGACTGATGGGTTTTAAAAAGTTCACTGATGAGATTTCAGATTCCACACTGTAACTCAGCTTTGAGAAATTACCACTTGTCAGGCCTACGTGTGTCATCAAAGAAAAATACCCACAAATTTCTGAAAAAGTTATTTTAAAAACCCCTCCCTTTTTCCAACTACATATTTGTGTAAGGTCTGATTTTTTTCATACACTTCAAGTAACATGCAATAGATGGACAGCAGAAGCAGACGGGACGTTTCTGCTCTCTCACCAAGGCAGACATCACAGAGGTTTGCAAAGATGTAAAACAATGCCACCTGTCCCACTAAACATTTTGATTTGAAAGATACTTTTCATAAAGATATGCTAACATTAATAGTTTTACTATTTAAAAAAAACTAAGTTTAAAATTTTTTCTCATTTCTAACATTAAGTATTAGTATTAACCTACATATGCAGCTTTTGGAGGTCCTCTTTTAAGAGTGTGAAGGCGTCTGAGATAAAAAAATTTGAGACTGACTGATGAAGACCAGAGGTTGGCAGACTTTCTCTGGAAAGGGTCAGAGGGTAAGTGTTTTGCGCTTTGCGGTCCAAAATGGTCTCTATGGTAACTACTCAACTCTGCTATTATAGTGCAACCACACATGATACAGAAACCACAGGCATAGTGGGACTCCAATAAAGCTATTAACAAAAATGGCCAAGTTGAACTTGCCATGTGGGCAGGTCATAGTATGCCAGCCTCTGACCCAAACATTGTCTACATCAGTGACCTCAGAAGTCAGAGCCCCTCACTCCACAATCAGAATTTCCAGTGGTCTACCTCCCTCTCCAAATCTTTGAAACAACCTGTCCGTCACCTCCTGACACCCTATTCCAAACTGCATCCTTTCCCCATCCTTCCTGTCTTTTCTTCTGTCCATGGCACGGATCAGTTCCTAGCACACCATGTGACTTACTTATCTGTCTTTGCCCACCAGAATGTCAGCTCATTGAGGGCAGGTTTGGTCTGTTTTGTTCTTCACACTGTTCCCAGCACTTAAAAGCAGGGCATGGCACATAGCTGGTGTTCAATACATACTAGCTCAATAAATTAGATGTGGTATCTCTCATAGGTACAATAAGAAAGAAAGAAAGAAAGAAAATGAAGTTGCTCAATTGTGTCCAATTCTTTACAACCCCATCTACTATAGCCTACCAGGTTCCTCCGTCTGGGGGATTTTCCTGGCAAGAGTACTGGAGTGGATTGCCATTTCCTTCTCCAGGGGATCTTCCTGACTCAGGGACCAAACCCAGGTCTCCCACATCACAGGTGAATGCTTTACTGTCTAAGCCACCAGATCCTCACTTAACATGAAGTGCACTGCTGGCTGCCTAGTGCTTTGAGCTCTGGGTGCCTCTTACGTGCTCAGCCTGATCAGTTACACACAACATGGATGAACAAGCTTAATGAACAAAAAGATAAAAATCTTACCTTTAAGTCATATTTCCTATATACAGATAAACGGTGGCTGAACACATTTCTTGTAACAATCACATATATTTCAACTCCATCCACATTAAGCCGGTACATGCCCAGGAATTGGGGAAGAAGGGTGATCCCATGACATTCCACTATATACTGCATAAGAAAGAAAGAAAAAAAGGGGGGGAAATGATCCAGTCAAAAGCTGTTTGTTCAGATATAAAATAACTCCTCTGCCTATGGTGTTTTACAAAGTGATAGTGGTTTATACAACCATTAATGTCTTATTTACAGAAAATGACCATGTTTATACACCTGAAGACCAGGTCTGAGTGCACCATGCAGACAGATGAGAAAATCTATCTCCAGAGACACTTTTTTCTTAACTTTCCCAACTAATTTGTATATAATGGCATGAGGAGAGAGGACAAGTGACTAGTCCTTTCTATAACTCCTTTAAAGTGAAATCATGACCTGGGTTCTCCATCTTCCTTCCTAGAAGCCTTGATGATGACTTTACGAGGTTCAGGCAGCATCACCTAGCCACTATGATCAACGCCTTTGATAGTGTTAAAGTCGAGACTACAGAGGAAATTGTGGTGAGCGCTCAGTGTTAGAAGCTGGGAGAGTCAGACTCTTGGTTTTCTGTTTCTTATTGAGACTCTAATGTTTAAATTGCTACCAGATAGTCTCCCAGAGCAATAGAAATAAAAACAAATGGGAGCTAATTAAACTTACATGCTTTTTGCACAGCCAAGGAAACCATAAACAAAATGAAAACACAACCTATGGAATGGGAGAAAATACTTGCAAATGATGCGATCGACAAGGGCTTAATTTCTAAAATATACAAACAGCACATACAACTCAACAAAATAAACCCAATCAAAAAAACAGAACACATAAGTAGACATTTCTCCAAAGAAAACACAGATGGCCACCAGGTACATGAAAAGATGCTCAAATCACAAACTATTGTATGTGTGTATATGGCCAGTCATTTCTGACTCTGCAACCCCATGGATTGTAGCCCACCAGGCTCCTCTCTGTCCATGGGATTTCATCCAGGCAAGAATACTGGAGTAGGTTGCTATTTCCTCCTCCAGGGGATCTTCCCAATCCAGGAACTGATCCCACGTATCCTGCATTGGCAGACAGATTCTTTACCATTGACCCCCCCCGCTTCCCCCCCCTCCGGAGGCCCTTCATCCTAAAGTATAAAGAGCATTAAAAAACAACCCATCACATACTTTAAATATATGGAAAAATAGAAGGACAAATTTAAAACTCTGACCTCGGAAATAATACATCCAGGTTCAGCTCTGCAAATGAGTCTTTCATAAGTGAAGATCAGCTAGAATATAACTGACTTTCACAGTTTTTAAAAATTGTTTTTCAGTATAGTACTAATCTGACATCACTGCCATTTTTGCTACTAAACATTAATTATTAGAGAAATGCAAATCAAAATGACACTGAGGTGCCACCTCATGCTGGTCAGAATGGCCATTACATTAAAAGATCTACAAATAACAAATGGTAGAGAGGCTGTGGAGGAAAGGAAATGTACCTACACTGTTGGTGGGAATGTAAGTTGGTAAAGTTACTGTGGAAAACAGTATGGAAGTTCCTCAGAAAACTAAAACTAGAATTAGCACATGATCCAGCAGTCCCACTACGTATTGCATGTATATCCAAAGACAAAACTATATAATTCATTAAGATACATGCACCCCTGTGTTCACAGCAGCACTATTCACAATAGCCAAGGCATGGAAACAATGTAAATGTCTCTCAACAGATAAATGGATGAAGATGATGTGAAGATACAGTGGATTATTTACTCAGTCATAAAAAAGAATGAAATAATGCCACTTGCAGCAACATGGATGGACCTAGAGATTATCACACTAAGCAAAGTCAGTCAGGAGAAAGACATATTCTACATGATATTACCTCTATGTGGAATGTGAAATACAATACAAATCATCTACAAAACAGCAGACTTGTGATTGCTGAGTGGGGGGATGGATAGAGGAAGGTAAGAATGGTAGTTTGGGATTACTAAATGCAAACTATCACATATAAGATGGATAAACACAGAGAAATGCAAATCAAAACCACAATGAGGTACCATTACACACCAGTCAGGATGGCTGCTATCCAAAAGTCTACAAGCAATAAATGCTGGAGAGGGTGTGGAGAAAAGGGAACCCTCTTACACTGTTGGTGGGAATGCAAATTAGTACAGCCACTATGGAAAACAGTGTGGAGATTTCTTAAAAACCTGGAAACAGAACTGCCATATGACCCAGCAATCCCACTTCTGGGCATACACACCGAGGAAACCAGATCTGAAAGAGATACGTGCACCCCAATGTTCATCGCAGCACTGTTTATAATAGCCAGGACATGGAAGCAACCTAGATGCCCATCAGCAGATGAATGGATGAGGAAGCTGTGGTACATATACACCATGGAATATTACTCAGCCATTAAAAAGAATTCATTTGAATCAGTTCTAATGAGATGGATGAAACTGGAGCCCATTATACAGAGCGAAGTAAGCCAGAAAGATAAAGACCATTACAGTATACTAACACATATATATGGAATTTAGAAAGATGGTAACGATAACCCTATATGCAAAACAGAAAAAGAGACTCCGATGTATAGAACAGACTTGTGGACTCTGGGAGAAGGCGAGGGTGGGATGTTTCAAGAGAACAGCATCGAAACACGTATATTATCTAGGATGAAACAGATCACCAGCCCAGGTTGGGTGCATGAGACAAGTGCTCGGGCCTGGTGCACTGGGAAGACCCAGAGGGATCGGGTGGAGAGGGAGGTGGGAGGGGGGACCGGGATGGGGAATACATGTAAATCCATGGCTAATTCATTTCAATGTATGACAAAAACCACAGCAATGATGTAAAGTAATTAGCCTCCAACTAATAAAAATAAATGAAAAAAAAAATAAGATGGATAAACAACAAGGTCCTGCTGTATAGCACAGGGAACTATATTTGATATTCTGTGACAAACTATAATGGAAAAGAATGTGAAAAAATATATATATATGGGCTTCCCTGGTGGCCCAGTGGTAAAGAATCCACCTGCCAATCAGGAGACACAGGAAGCTCAGTTTCAAGATTTTACGTGTGTGTGTGTGTGTGTGTGTGTACACACACATATATATATTCATATGTATCAGTGAATCACTTTGCTATACAGAAAAAGTTAATACATTGTAAATCAACTTTACTTCAATAAAATTTAAAAAATGATTTATGAAAAAAATTAATACTTTTTTTGATATGTTAAAATAATTACTTTGTAGATTCACAAGTGACATTGAATAAAAAATTCATGGCAGTGAAAGAAATAATAAATTGCCCACTAAAGCAGTGGTGTGAAGCTCCACGGACAGATGGACACACTCTGCCCCCACATTGGATTCATCACTGGACAAGTCAGTCCCAGCACTGACACCATTTCCAAGAGTTGCAAAAACACAACATGTGTCTATCCCTCTTCAATGACCATACTCTAAACGGCCACCAGATGGAGACACTTTTCAAAAGACCATCCTTACAAACTGGGTCCCACTGTACTTTCCAAAGTTGGGTTTTCCTTTCTTTAAAATGAGGGGGAAAGAAGATTCTAAAAAGTTTCTTTGATGCCTGTGACGTGTGTGAAATCGCCAGAATAACTTAGCATCAATTGTACCTACTTGTAAAAACTGTACTTACTGTGCCTGTTTACAGACAGATGGCTGGCAGAATAGTCACCATGGTAATGGTGACATTTAAGGTAACTCCTTCTTCATTTAAAAAAAAAAAACAGTCCTCAAATTTTTCAGCTGTACAATGCACTTTTATAAAAGTAAGAAAGTAATCAGAATGCCCTGTCACACACTTTAGTGGTAGACACTGCAATAATCAACTCTGATAATAAGAAGCCATCTTAAAACTTTTTTTTAAAGCCTTTAATTTTTATCGTTAAAGAAAAGAAGTACAGCATCAGTGGAGGAGTTTGATTTTTCCCATTCAAAGTCTGGAAGATTTTAAAGATGCTTCTGCCCTTAAAAAAAAAAAAATCTTACCATAATTGAGCTACATATTTCAATACGATGGCTTTTTCTGAGTTTCACCCCCAACTTGTTCTTAATCTGAAGTCAGATGAGAGGAAAGTTTTCTATTTCTCGCCTTTCAAAAAACAATAAACTTGAGTTTTGCTAATACAAAACAGGTGGTAAAGAGCTCTTGGCTGAAAGGAAGATTTCTCACGTCTGATGTAAAGACATAAAAGGAGTGGTTGTCTGGTGCCTCTGAAGAGGGCTGGCTGGCTGGGCCTCGGCCGCATGGAGGCGGGGGGGAGTCTAACCGCATAGGCTCAGCAGGAAGGGTGGAGGTTCTGGAGCCAGAGAGACGAATGCAGGGGCATCCCGGCGCCTCCACTTACCAGCAGTGGGATCTTGGGCAGCTCACTAAACCATCCTATGTTTCAATGTCCTCTTCTAGAAAACAAGCACCGAAATTCCTACCAAGAAGGTTAGGGTGAGGATTACAGGTAGCAGGGTGTCAGCACACCTCACACAATGCCTGTGCTCTGTGCCGCTCTTTCTCCTGCCCAAGAGGACGGTGATCGCGGTTGCTCTTTACATGCAGAACTCTGGTAAGGAATCTCAATGTCAGCCCGTCTGCTCTGTGCTCCAACCTGACTCACAGACGTGATCTGAGCTCTACCCAGAGGTGATCTGAGGGCCCATGCGAACTTGCCCCCTGCCCTGGGGGGCACACAGGCTTCAGTCTGGCTATTCAACTCCCTCCCCCTGCACCCCACGCCTTGTGCTGTTCTGCTCAGTTTAGGGTCATCATGGCCTATCTTTTAAAAATCCTGCTGGCAGAACACATCTCTTTGATCCAAATCTCTGTACAGAGCCACAGAATGCCCGGATCAGTGTAGATACCACTATCTGTACTGACGAATGTGAAAGGCACCTGACTTCTACATGGGAAATCACTGGTGTGCTTCCCCCACCCCCACCCCAGGGAGAAACACACGTGCACGTTATATTCTGCAACTCCTCTATCTTTAAGATTAAATAAAACATATTTAAAACATAGATCAAATTTGATTCACCTTATCAGCAC